CATGATCTTTGGACTGGGTCACATTCTTTAGGAACTAGTCTGACCTGTAATTAAGAGTTTTTTTTATAGTACAGGTAAAGTTAGCACAGAATAGAAAGGTATTAGGATTTAAGTCAGTCATTAGGTGTTTGGTATGCATAAGTTTTAGAAGTTATTGATTATTAGGATTTTATGATATTAAAACTGTTGTATTGCTTTTGAGGAACATAAACCAAGCATAAGGAAGAGTGAGATAATTTTGGGATTATCCTTCCTCATGCTTGGGGAAAACGTCTGGTGGGCGGGGATGCCCCACCCACCCACCTGGCTTTGTGTTCATGTAAAACTCTTGTGATTTGATTAAGATTGTCCTTTCTCATGCTAAGGAAAGCGCCTGGTGGGTGAGGATGCCCTCCACCCACCTGGCTTTGTGTTCACGGGAAAGTCTTGTGATTTAACATGTGAAAGTTTGGGATAAAAGACTCACGGTTGGTCCCAATAAACGGCTTCTGCTCATTTCACTGAACAGTTGTCCACTTTCTTTGTTTCTCTTTATATCTATCCCTCCATCTTTCTTTCAATATCTATCCCTACTACAGAATCGGCTTCTGCATTAGACAGAGTCCAGTCTCTTTCTTTCTCCTTATTTCTCCAGAATATTCGCCAACGCTGCCCCACCTTCCAGGGACCCTCTAAACCTCTTTTGGGGGGCTGGCCCCCCCATAATATGTAGTAAGTAAATGACTACATAGACATTAAATGTTGAATTTCCTTTATAGCTCCTAAATATCTTCATTTTTGTTTTTGTTTTTCTTAGAATCATTTCTTGAGGTTCTTTCAAACATCTTATCTTAAAACACACATGAAATCCTACTATGCATATGTTACAAAACCCAAGTTTTAGCAACATTACAAAAGGTCTGCACCCTCTCACCTCACCAAAGGGGCATATCTCTCTCCAGAAACAAAGTCATTTCTGCTGAAATAATACCACCTAAGCTCAGCTCATTCCAGCAGTCTATTTATACTTCCATTCCCTCTCCTCCACACAATCAATTTGGAAATAAGTGCTTATGGAGATAAAAAAATAAACACCGAGGCAGTGTAATTCCATGAAACTCATATTCAAGGGAAACTCCACTAATCCTATTTTGTTAGTTATTGGTCCCCAGAGACTACTTCATATTTCATCATAATAGGATGGATTATGTTACCCACAATAAATGAAACGTATGTATAATGGTAATTTATGAGATAAATTAGAAATAAACTGTACACATCATCAAAAATATTTAAGGATTACAAAAAGTAATACATTAGGATTACAAAAAGTAATACATGTATATTACCAGGAACTTCTGGAGCTCTGACCAAAGTGACCACATAATCATCCTTGAATGCTCTCTCTATTACATAGCCCATCATCATGGCACAAGAACGCCAATAAGCCTAGAAAAATACATACAAACACAAAACACACTGAGATTCACTAAAGTTTCTACAGTATTAAAATTTAAGTAAACTTTTAACTTAGGAAACATTTCTCACATATCTGTCTGTTCACAGCAAGTAGCAATAATCACCATCAGGCTATGACATTACCTCCAAGCAAAAACCAGGAAAGAATGATGCACCGACTTCAGGTTATTAGCAATGTTTCTATGCAAGATATCAAACACTATAACAGTTATCAATCCATAGATAGTTTTACTATCTGGTAATCTTTATTTTTAACTCAGGATAAAGTCAACTTGTTAACAAACTTGTGCTGAAGTAAAATAAATGCATTATTATATAACTGTTCATGTTATTTATAAATATAGAGAGAAACTCAACTGTTGTAAATTATTTGTGACTCCTATTCTATACCTAACATCATAACACCTCATCAATTTATTCACATTTATAGAGAGTAGCCTCAACTCCACTGGGCTTTCATTTTACTAGCACATTTTGATTCGTGGGTATTCATGCAATAACCTGTTCAGAGTCATAAGGAGAAACGTGTGCTGTACCATACCCATTCATCTTATGTCCCTTACTGACATATTCTATCTGGACATTTGACTTTCCTCGGTTGTTGCTGTTGTTTTGTTTTTTAGTCAGGGGTCTCAATCTGTCACCCATTCTGGAGTGCAGTGACATGATCACAGTTCGCCTCAACCTCGACCCTCTAGGCTCAGGTAATCCTTTCCACCTCAGCCTCCCAAGTAGCTGGGACATAGATGTGTGTCACCACACCCAGCTAATTTGTAGAGACAAGGTCTTACTATGTTGCCTAGGCTGGTCTCAAACACCTGGGCTCAAGCAATTCTCCCTTGTCAGTCTCCCAAAGTGCTGGTATTACAGGTATGAGCCACAGCACACAGCCCTGCTTTCAAAAGCTCTTCTTCACATCTGAGTACTACAAGAGTGGGGTCATTTGGTTGTGTGTGGTAGGGACTGCTCCATTACCTATTCTATGCAACCATATTACACTAAAAATAAGTACAAATCCGGGCCTTGAAGGTCAGTGGCAAAATATATTTCTGTATCTATCCTACTTAAATGTTTTTAAACATCTGATGAACCCCAGTCAAAATGCCTAAGTTCAAATCTAAGCTCCATCACTTCCTAAATCAGTAACCTTGGTCAAGCTGCTGAATTCCTCCTTGTCTCAATTTATGCATCAGGAAAATGGGGAGAACAGTACCTACTTTCCAGAGTTTGCACGAAGATTAAAGGAGTTAATATCTATAAATCACCTAAAACAGTGCCTGGTATATAATAAACACTCAATGATAGCGATTACTATTATCATTTATATCATTTTTCTTGTGTATTTCAACAAATATTTATTAAACACCTCCTGTATGTAAGTTAAGGACTAAGTCCAATAAGGGAAATGGTCCTTGTCTTCACAGAACCAAGGACCTAACGCATTCAGCAGCTTATGTTACAAGACAAAATTAACATATCCTATCTAGAGGCAATCCAAATGTAAGACACTAGAAAAAAGAAGAATTAATTCTGACAAGAAACCTAGAAGGATCCACAAAGAAGATGGCATTTTAATTGAATTATAAAAGATAACAGGATTTTAATGGGAAGAAAAGAAAATACTCAGTGTTGAAGAAAGAGCATCAATAAAAGCAAGGAGGATAACACAGCACAAACTATTAGTGACCAAGTACTCTACTGGAGCAAAGAGGACGTAGAAAGACACAGCAGGAGGCAAAGCTAGAAAGACAGGCTGAAGACACAGTATGCAGAGCTCAGAAAGTTATGTGAACATTATCAAATGGACAAGTTCTTTAGGGGTAAGTGACATGATTTGTAGTCATGTCACTCAATGAAACTCATAGGAGTGTGAAGGAAGAATTCAAGTACTAAAAAAGAGGAAGAGGGGACAGGAAGAGAAAGTGATTGAATTCATCCAGAGAAGATGGTCAAAGACTGAATTCAAGCAGTAGCAGTAGAAATAACATCACTTGTAATAGAGATAGTAAACAATAAGTGTTAAGTTGAACAAATATATGAATGTAAAACCATGGCATATAATTTTCTCAATCTAAAATACAGAGAAATGCATGCCACCAGTATTTTCTGAACTGTGAAAGTGTCTAATCTCCACAGAAAAGAGAAAATACATTTTAATAAAAGAAGAAAAAAACGGGAGGGGAAGAAAGACAGTAGAGACAGAAATACCTTATTCACTTCTCCTGGATCGCGATCTTTGAAAGTGAGAAATTTAATTTCACAGGACTTGGTCAAAGGTTTATACATGTCCCAAGGCTGTCCATCCACCAGAGCCAGAATGGATTTCCTACAGTACCACTCACTTAAATCTGGAAATTTAAAATAGATTTTTGATCTAAATGTAACAAAAGTCAAAGGGAAAAGTCACATGTTAAAATAAAAGTACTACATTAAGAAATAAAACAATGGAAAGTCAAGATTCTGCAGATTGTCTTTGTTTAGGGAATAAAATGTATTACACTTATGATAATCTAACCAATTAAAAAATAATATACCCAACACATTCAAGGTATTGTTGATTAACAAAATTACGCAATTTACAAAAATCATTAAAGCTAAGTCCAGTTTGTAATTAATTTGTCAATTACTCATAAAACAATTTTCCAAGAGTCACACAAATATTTAGAGAGCAGCATCATGGAGAAGAAAAGGAAAAAAATATTAATGCACAACTACATAAATCTATTCCAGACTGGTTTTAAGTCTTACTCTCAAATCATCTCTTATTTCCAGACATAGACTCTTCAAACTGTAGTTACCATTTTTTAATTATTAATATGAGTTCACATATAAACCAATCAGCTCTGGTCTGTTCTAGGACCCCAGAATGCAACTCCAACCCTGTTCAGATGTTTTGCAAGCACACAGTTTCTCACAAAAGTGGTCAGATTACCAGATCTAAATGATCAGCCACTAAATACTTTCCATAAAGGCAGAGATCATGTCTACTTTGGTTCACTCATGAGTCCAGCACTAGGCCTGGAATACAGTAGGTGCTCAATAAGTTTACTGAATGACTGACAAGAAAGTCTCAGGGCACGGGTCATGCTGACGATGGTACAGAAGTTTCATTTCGACATATGATGTGTATAAAACTCCTTAAGGGTTGGAGCTTTAATGTCTACCATTTAGCAGAGGTTCATGAAATACCAGAAGACCAAATGAGTAAATAATTATCATGAAACTACAAGTGCTAAAGTAGAGGAATAGTGAGGGTGTATACTCTTTAGGTTGGCTTACGTTGACAACTAAAGTTGCTAATTTCTTAAATGGAATCATCACTGAGTTTTTCCAACATTTAAACAATGCTGCTAGTCATACCTGAGTGTATCTATTTTGGGGGATTTCCTAACTTTAAATATTATAAGTTCTACCAAAGCTAGTATCCAAATTGGTTACATCTATCTATCAAAAGTAATATACAGAGTCCCTGTTCCCTACATTTCCAGACCAAATAACACATTGGGCAGTTTTGTTTTCTTTTTTGTTTTTGAGAAAGGGTCTGACTCTATCATCCAGGCTGTAGTGCAGTGGTAAATTATAGCCTGGGCTCAAATGATCCACCAGCCTCAGCCTCAGCCTCCCAAACAGTCAACTACAGGCAAATGTCAAATACCAGCTAATTTTTTTATTTCTTGTAGAGATGGAGGTCTCATTACGTTGCCCAGGCTGGTCTTGAACTCCTGTCCTCAAGTAATCCTCCTGTCTTGGTCTCCTAAGGCACTGGGATTGCAGGCGTGAGCCATCATGCTTGCAAGCACAGATGTCTACCTTGAGATATGAGCAAAAAAATATTTTTACCCAAATCACATTCACCCCATACACATTTTCACTCACACACTTAATACACACACACACACACACACACACACACACACACACACAACACAACACACAAAAAGGCAAGTGGCAAGCAGACAAAAGATATAAGTTAAGATATAGAGTGATTAGGGAGAAAGAAAAAGACAACAAACACTCTTATTATCTGAAGCCACAGCATCCCTTTAAAAATCCAAAATCCTTTTAAAAGATCCTTCATGGCCAGGCTAGGTGGCTCAGCCTATAATCCCAGCACTTTGGGAGGCCGAGGCAAGTGAACTGCCTGAGCCCGGCAGATGGAGACCAGCCAGGGCAACTTGGTGAGATCTCATGCCTACAACAGCTGGGCATGGTAGCATGTGCTTGTAGTTCCGGCTACTTGGAAGGATCGCTGGAGCCCAGCAGGTCGCCGCTGGGGTGACCGTGAGTGTGCCACTGCTCTCCAGCGTGGGTGACAGAGTGAGACTTAACTCAAAAAAAAAAAAAAAAAAATCCTTCATGGTAACTGTTCCAATATCAGCGTCCTATCTAAAAGGGGCAAGCCCACTACTAACAATGCATTCAGGTTTGGCGCCTTCTCCAGAAAAAGTTTTCATCCCTTCAACCGGGCTCCCAACACCCGAGCCCTCCCAGAAGCACCAGAACCCATCGGAAGTGAGTGGCGGTGTAGGAGTTCCATATCCTGTCAGATCAGTGGCTGCATTAGATTCTTATAAGCACGCAAACCCTATGGTGAATTGCACATGTAAGTGATGTAGGGTGCCACTCCTTATGAGAATCTAATGTCTGATGATTCCCTCTCTCCCATCACCACCCCCTGAAAAATTTTCTTTCATGAAACCAGTCCCTGATGCCAAAAAGGTTGGGGATCACTGCCTTAAACATAGCTAGATTCATGCAAGCCCTAGGACAACCTGTGCACTATGGTGCCAACCATGCAACACCCTTAGTACCCTTCAGCGCTAAAGAGACAGTAAACAGTAATCAGGTTCCAGATAAAGAACTTCTGGAAAGTTGAGGAGCAATTACAGCATGCAGTCTCCTGCTGCAATGCTTCCCCACAGCTCACATTAAATGGTCATGATTCTGTTACTTACGCATGGCACAACTATAAGGAGTTGAAATGTTTTTATTCATTACGAAGATAGTTCCCGGGTCAGTTTTCCCAACATGTTTAACTTCAATCTTCTCAGTTTGGGGAGTTAATGATAACTGCCTGCTTTTTTCTTTATTAAAGAGATCATTCCGCATTTCTGTCAATTCTATCGGTGACAGCTGAGAAGCTGGCGATGTTGCTATAAATCCTGTGAAGAAGTCACAATAAATATAAAGACTGAAAAAATAAAATGAATAACGGACTGCCAATACCCAACCCGTAATGCTCCACTGCTGCATTACGATTCTCCTGTAACATAACTGTAAACGCCAAAAATGCTCCCATAGGTCAACTTAAACCAAACTGTAATATTAACAAAAGACAAGCGGGAAAAACGCTGATGGCCAATGCAGCTGGTCCAGATATGCAACAGATCTGCCTTAAGTTTGCTCTTTCACGTCAGTCTCTATTTTCCACCAATTAATTTCCTCTGTCGGATTCCAATCTGTGCTTTACAATAAGGGGCAAAAGCAAGCGAGAGGCGGAATCAAAAGTAGACCAGAGTCACTGGGAAGTGAGCAAAGCGGTCGGTTTGAAAGGGTCTTTAAGAACAAGAAAACGTCTGGAGACTAACGGTCCCACGCCAAAACTATCAACATCCAGGACGAGAAATGCTGAGTGTGTTTTCCAAACGCCAACATCAGGGGGTCAAGGCAAGCACGAGTGTTCCGATGGGACAAGGACGTGTTTGCACGAGACGTGGGTTCCTAACGAGAGGCACCCTAAGCGCCTCCCACGGCCCGGCCCCGGCTCTGGCTTCGGCCGCTGCCCTCTCCCTGCTCGACCCAACCCTCCCCGGTCTCTCGCTCCCACAGATTTGTCGTCCTAGGTCGAAAGGGGCGACTGTCGCGGCGGGGGACTGAGAAGCCTTCCTCAGTCTTCGGCCTCGCCAGGCTCCCAGGACCCGCTCCAGGCGCAATCTGGGCAGACACCACCCTCTAGGCCTCGGTCCCTGTCCCCACGGCCTCTGAAACTCACTCCAGCCAGCCCCGCCGCCAGGAGCGACCCGCCAGAGCCTCAGGGCCCGAACCCCCACGGCCATTGCGTCCACAGCGGCGGTGAGGACCGCAGCGCGCGGGTCCTTCTCCGCCCTCTTCCCCCGGAAACTGAGCGCGCGCCCGGGGTTCCGTAGGACAGTTGCGTTCCGGACCGGCGCTCGGGCGGCGCGCCGCCACGGGAGGGCGCAGTGTCGCCTGGCTGGAGATTGATTTGCCGCGAGGTGCGGCGACCCCCAGCAGGGACTCTTCCCCGGGCGCAGCGGGTGACTCAGAGGTGCTGGGCCCCAGTGGACTCTTCAGGGAAATGAGTGTTCCTTTGGGGGTCCGGAGTCCCATGGGTCTCCGCTTTCCACGGGTTCGAGCCCGGCCATCTGGGAGAAGCGCTTGCTTCCCGAAAAACATATGCGTATTTCTGGGGAGAAAAATCAGAGAAGGACGGCTTCTATTTACTCCTGCTTTCGTGGTCAGCCGATGACATCCTGTAGCTCGTGGTAAACTTCCAGTTTTGCAGGTGGGTTCTTAGGTCAGCTGCAGTAAGTCTGCCCCCGGTTTTCTATTTAATTAGCCTGATGAATAAGGGTCTCGAAGCACGTCCTGCCACAATGGAGGGGATTTTGTAATCCTAAAAGCTCTTTACAGATTATCCAGCACCCCGGGGCAGGATTTTAGTACCTTATAAGCCGTATCCCAAGCGCCCAGAACAGAGCATGGTATACAGTCAGCGCTCAATAGATAATTGCTAGATGAATGAATGAATGCCATAACAAAACAAAAGGTCGGCGCGGTGTCTAATCCCATTGTAGTGCCAGGATGTTATTGTTATTCGAAGTAAACATTTCCTGGGGACAGTATGGAAAAGTGTATACGCAAAGTAGTTGAATGCAGAGGTTTTACCTAGCGGGCGTAGGTTTACAAATGCAGCCCTCTGCCTTCATCCGCTGTTCTTTGACTGGCAAGTGGAATATCCCGCCACCAGGGGGAAGTGCCACCTAAGGTACCAGTAAGACTCCGCGCCAAGATAGATTTACTGTCTCCTTGGCCCAAATTTCACATTCACAACTGCGCAGGGAAAGTGTAAGTATTTTTCTTCACTTTTAAAAAAATGAGCAATGCAAGTGGAGGAGCTTGGATTTAAGCCCAGGCTACATCTGACGAGGCCACCTCACATGTAAGATCCTAATTCAAACCACCAAATAGACATATATACACATATGGGGGGGGAGGGCGCGTGTGTGTCTTTTGCTTCCCCCTTTTGCGATGATTTCCTTGAAAGCTTTTTGTTTCCCCAGCCTTTGAGAAACAGTATAGTTGCCGTAAGCACATTTTAAAGTAACATTTAAGGAAAGCCTCTGAACTTCAGCAAATTGAATCATAAACACATTGGAGGCAGGTAATCGGAGCTCACCAGAAATTAACCTGGTTGGAAGGTTGTCACTAGTGATGATGACTAACAAATATTGAATATCTGCCAGTTATAGAGGTGAGTCTTTACTTTTCACAACCTACCTGAGCAATAAGCATGATTATCTTCATTTTCCAGGAAAAGAAATTTAGGTTTGGAGAATTTTTTTTTTTTTTTTT